GATGGGTTGAATTTGCATATTACTAGTACACCAAATTACAATATATTAGTTAGTTGCAAGCATTGAAAAATCCTATTACGATTTGAAAAACATAATACAATCAACCTTACTGTGCATTCACAACATTAAGAAATTCAGAAGCTTTAATGCAGCATATTATATTGAATGTCAACAGAAAATTTAGGTTTTAAAATAATTAGAATCACCTCGATCGTCCAAATTCCCCAGGTCATGTTTCCATTCAGTCACTGATGAATCAACAACAGAAGCATCTTCCTTTGCAGTATCAGATGACATGTCTTGTTGAACTCCTAGTCATACAAATAGCAGAACCGAGGCAGGCGTAGATTAGAAATACAAACTAAATCTCATGGCATTAAAGATGAAACCAAATGTATCATATTCAATGACGCACTATCGCCAAATATCAAAGAACTTTCAGTAACAAAAAACATCACTAAATAATACCAATGACAAGAACATAGGTGCAGAAACTATGATCAAAATATGCAATGTTCAGCACACTTTCAGTCTCCATAGAACAAAAAGGAATCTTCCAGAATTTCCCCATTGCATGTTATAGCCAGAAAGAAAAAAGTACCTACCATATGCAACAGATATAATAGGCATCTGCATAACAACTATACAACCATTGGATACCTTGTTGAAAACTCTAGAGTCTCAATGCAGCACAAACTACGGAGAATAGGATGTATGTCTTCCTGCTATGTGTTGTGCTGTATTTAAGATGTATCAGGCTACTTCAAAAACAAACAATCCCAGTAAATGAACCCTTAGTCCTGGGTTTCTAAGCCAGCCCTTGATGTTCATAACTTCAAATTATCCAATATTGCGAATAGGAAAATTTTTCTCCTTTTTTCTTTGGAAAAAAAAAAAAAAGTAAAGCTAATATCACTATGGGCGCCAAAAACAACAACACTTATGCGCCACCGCCTGAACAACCCAACAAAACTCTGAACTAAGGATACCAAAAATAAAAACAACGTTGTTAGTCATTTATAACAACGAATAAATTTCTCTTCAGACGGCCACAAAATCAATGACACGCTTCAAGTGGATTTTACGGTAACCATTAACCAGGTTTTTAGCCTTAAAAGTACAGCAGCAACTGACTATACATAACACTCGAATCCAAAACCAACATTGAGACACCCATTCCAATAATACAAGTCAAAATCATCACAACCAATATGAAATTCATGTTCTTCACTTAATTTTAACAAAATTCAATGAAAAACGATGTACATACGAATCAATATATTACTCTGCTGGATATAATTTATGCAAAAGAACTTTGTCAAAGAGCGGGGAAATGTAAAATGGGGATAAAAAGCATACCTTTTCAAGGAAGAGTAAGTCGAAAAACAGGAAGTTGTTGAAGATAGAAGCAGAGAAAGAGAGAGATTGGGGACGAGTGTGGAGTGATGACGATGATCAGGAGTTGGGATAAGCTGTGCCCTAGTTTTCCCAACAAAGCCCTTTTCGAATTCGTAAAGTCCTTTTAATTCGTAGGCCAACAATTCTGTCTTACATTTTAAGGATAAATTTCATTCACGTCCCTAATGTTTTATCCAACCAACTATACGGCCCCTTTAGATACAGATGATAATACTATTTCCCCTCTACTTTGATTGTCTTTAACAGATTTCCCACCGTTAATGCGCGCCCTTACGAAAATATCACAAAACTCGATGATGTAAGAATTTTATTTTCTGAAATGCCAAGCCTTTTGTTGTAATAGTCAAACTAAACCTATAAATCTTTTAGATTCACAAAACCAAACATATTGTCAATCATGATCGAATTTAACTTGTTGCTAAACAAGCCTTAAATCCTTATTATTTTTTTTTTGTAACTCTCACCGCTACGAATTGATCACACAAACACACACAACTAGAATTATCTATACAACGCTACCTCTCTCACCCCATTGGACCACCCACCTATCCACCCCCAACAATCCACCCCGTCACGACCCCTAAACACCTATAAAGAACTATTATTGATTCATTAGCCAAACAATAAATACTTGGAACATGTAACACAAAATTCATTCCCGTGAATTAGAAACACTTTTACTTCTTTAGAACTCACCTTAGTAATCTTTTTCGCTTTTCTCCCTTCTATATTTATTGTGTCACTGTTGAAAATAAAATTTTCTTTTCAAAGATTGTAGAAAAATTAGGGACTTGTGACCTTGTAAAATCGAGTGAAGTTTGGGTTTTTTTTGTAGTTTGGTTAGTGCATAGTTTGGGTTTTGAGGCTAGCAGTATGAAGGGGTTGGTTCATTGGTTGTGTTGAGTCATTAGTGTATGATAGTGTTGGCGCAATGGTCACAGTGGTTTGGGGCCCATAGGATATGTAGTAGCAAAGGAGATGTGATGCTTTGGGATTATGATGGTTGTGGGCTTTGATATTTTGTATTGGCAGTGAGGTTTGGTTGTGTGTGAGAAAGGTATTGTGTGCCAAGACATGAATGACTCACCAGAGAATAGAATTATTATTTTTATCAAAATCTCTATAAATTTCAACTAGATTAGTGTTTTCATGTAAAGGGTGCTATATTTATTGTATCATAACAGTTAGGATAAATATTATAGTTAGTTTTTAAACTTTGTCTTTTATTTTAAAATAATCTTTAAACTTTCAATTATTTATATTTAGTCCTTCAACTATCTATTTTATGTTAATTAAATCACCCCCTTATTTTAGTCATTAAAACAAATAGATGTATATGACGTGGACGGCCACATGTCAAACACATGGACTTGCATCCGTTTATTCTAATGAGTGAAATAAATAGAAAAACTTAATAAACACAAGATTGATAATCGAGGAACTAATTTAGACAATTAAAAATTCATGAATTATTTTAAAACAAGAAATAAAATTTAAGAACTAATTGTTATATTTACCTTAAATAATAATCTTGAAGTTTCTTCATAAAAATGGGATAAACTACCCTCCATGTCAGGGTAGTTTTATTATCTAAACTTGAGGGGGCTTACTGTTATATTAACAAATATTAAGGGGGTTTGATGTAATTTACTTTTTATATTGAGAGAATTACGTGGAAGTTGGAACCCCGCAAACTAATCCTTTTTACAGTTTACCTCTCATCCTGTCTTCCATAGTTACCTTTCAACTTCTCAAAACCTGTCCGCCCCCTCGAACCATTCGACCCTAAATACTTAACCGGGCCCACTGTGTCCGGGTCATCCTCTGCGTGGAGTAAATATCTTTTCCTCCGGGTGGTCCTACTCGAGTAACTTCAGAGACGTTCAATCGATTCCCTCATGAGTGGGCGCTGTGGGGTCCAGCGCCAGAATCGACAACGTTTACATAGCCGAGTGCCGCCAACGCGGACTCACGGTTTCCAATGACGGCGATGCCTTCTCCGATGATGTCGCCAATTGCGCGGTGGCTCTCTTGATTTCTGTTCTCCATCGGGGCTATGCTTCGAACAGGTACGTTCGGGCCGGGCTGTGCCACGTTCACGGAGTGTGTGTGTGCGCGCGCGCGCTATTTGACCTCAACTGAACTTCCGGTTAGTTTAATTTGTGAAGTGTGAGCTTTGAACTTCTGGTGTGTGCGCGTCTGCTATTTGAACTGGTTTCACAGTAGGAACTGTAAGGAAAACTGATAGAAGAATCAATGAGAAAGAAGGGAAAATTGTAATTTGTGCTCCAAATATTTTTGAATTGTTAGAATTATAATCTGAAAGAGTATAATTCCTACACTGAATCCTTTATCAAATAAATTCTAGAAATAAAGAGTAGTAACATACGGTTTAAGATGCCCGGACTAGATTTCTTCCTGGATTTAGTTAAAGATACTCATCCATGCCAGGACTATATGTTCCAAATGAGAATATAAAATCTTTTATGGTACGAAGGGTCATCCACCTTAAAAGAAAAACAATCATCACTTAATTCAGGGATTTTTTTTATTTATTTTAGTCATTAAATTTGTGCATGTTGATTTTTGCACAATAGATGAAATTGGAAAAAATCTCTTTCACAGTGACCTCTGACCTGTTGAGATGGTGAATTCGACAACAAAGAATGAGTTGAGAAAGCCAAAGGAGGCCTAAAGATTGGTGATGAATTATTATTGGTGTTGTCAAACCGATTATGGTGGCTCATGAGGGATTCCTGGAACACAGGTTAGAAGGGCGCCAGAGTATTTGTCGGCGTATCCCCTCCGACGATTAAATCAATTTTTTGAGAGAGGAGAAGAAGAAATCACTGTTTGGCGTTCTTGAGAGATGATTTTGTGTACCTTTGCAAAGTATTTTTGAGGATTATTTATATCTTCACAAGCTCATCATTATTGGTAGTCTAGACAGTAGGTAGCCTTTAGAAATGAGGCAGTGTGCCCTCTGCTTTTGCGTGGGAAATGTTCCAGTATTAATTGCTTGGGCTTCCGAGCAGTTAATGTTCTTTCTTCGATGTGAAAACTTTAAATGTCAGAAGCCCAAGTCATTTAACCCCTATATCCTTGGCTTCCCAAGCCCTGTGGATGTCATATCATTTGATGATTCATTAAATGCCTGTCTAGAATAGTCGCATATCAGTAAGAGTAATTATGTCGTTTTGCCCTTCACTCTGCACTTCATGCTACGCGTGTGACTCTCCATGGTTGAGTGTCCAGTTCATTCTGTCACTCTGACTCCATTGAGCATAGTGTCATTTTGGCCCTTAATCTAGTTTAGGTTGGTCATCTATCAATCAATAGCCTTCTTAGGAGACGAGGGGCCGGTGCGAGTACTCTCGGGACCGAGGATAGTTGACTCCTCAGTGGGTCCGAGGGACACATCTTGGAGCTGAAGGAACACATCTTCAAGCTGAGGGAACCAGCTTTGGAGCCCGAAATCCTGTCAGCCAGAGTAAGGGGGTCTTGGAAACCCGAGGACCAATAGCCTTGTCGGAGGCGAGGAAATACCTCGGCTCCGAGGACACATGTCATCGGCTAAAGCCTTTTTATAAATGTCTCATCAACTGCCCCTAGCCATTTGATTTTCACATGACAGGGTCGTGNGAAAAAATCTCTTTCACAGTGACCTCTGACCTGTTGAGATGGTGAATTCGACAACAAAGAATGAGTTGAGAAAGCCAAAGGAGGCCTAAAGATTGGTGATGAATTATTATTGGTGTTGTCAAACCGATTATGGTGGCTCATGAGGGATTCCTGGAACACAGGTTAGAAGGGCGCCAGAGTATTTGTCGGCGTATCCCCTCCGACGATTAAATCAATTTTTTGAGAGAGGAGAAGAAGAAATCACTGTTTGGCGTTCTTGAGAGATGATTTTGTGTACCTTTGCAAAGTATTTTTGAGGATTATTTATATCTTCACAAGCTCATCATTATTGGTAGTCTAGACAGTAGGTAGCCTTTAGAAATGAGGCAGTGTGCCCTCTGCTTTTGCGTGGGAAATGTTCCAGTATTAATTGCTTGGGCTTCCGAGCAGTTAATGTTCTTTCTTCGATGTGAAAACTTTAAATGTCAGAAGCCCAAGTCATTTAACCCCTATATCCTTGGCTTCCCAAGCCCTGTGGATGTCATATCATTTGATGATTCATTAAATGCCTGTCTAGAATAGTCGCATATCAGTAAGAGTAATTATGTCGTTTTGCCCTTCACTCTGCACTTCATGCTACGCGTGTGACTCTCCATGGTTGAGTGTCCAGTTCATTCTGTCACTCTGACTCCATTGAGCATAGTGTCATTTTGGCCCTTAATCTAGTTTAGGTTGGTCATCTATCAATCAATAGCCTTCTTAGGAGACGAGGGGCCGGTGCGAGTACTCTCGGGACCGAGGATAGTTGACTCCTCAGTGGGTCCGAGGGACACATCTTGGAGCTGAAGGAACACATCTTCAAGCTGAGGGAACCAGCTTTGGAGCCCGAAATCCTGTCAGCCAGAGTAAGGGGGTCTTGGAAACCCGAGGACCAATAGCCTTGTCGGAGGCGAGGAAATACCTCGGCTCCGAGGACACATGTCATCGGCTAAAGCCTTTTTATAAATGTCTCATCAACTGCCCCTAGCCATTTGATTTTCACATGACAGGGTCGTGTGTCGTAGGGAAGATGAAAGGGTTTGTAACTGTCTCAATCATCCCATCATTGCTTCAGTCGTTTTTCGTCGTTTGGAGATCGTACGCATTGAATGAGCCCTTTCATGTCTCGTGCATAATAATGGGGTCAAAGGGCCTATATAAAACAAAGCCCCGACCCCCCATTTTCACTTTTCGAATTTCTGAGCTTTTAGAAACTTGTCGCCAGAGAAACGTTTGGAGCTTTGCTGCCTGAAGAAATCATCTTCCTCTTTCAATCCTCACCGGAGTAGAGAGAAACTTCTACGTTCTTCCCAGTTTTTGTTCTGAAGAAAGAGGTAACTCAAGTTCTCAGTTTTTACTTTGAAATTCTAGTGACTTTTTGCCTTCTTTTCCTTCTTCCATTTCGCATTTTCGGTGGCCTTTCATTCCCTAAACCTTGTTCTCTTGTGTTTTTTCCAGTGATTGGTCGCCTTCTTCAACCATTCATCTCAATCCTCAAATGGTTTAAGGTGGTCACCTAGCCTAGTCTTCATTTTGGGCATAGTGGTGCCCTTTAGGATTCCCTGTAGAGAATCTTCTTCTAGAACCTTCCCCTCCTCTCTGAGTAGGATGCTGAGGAGTCGTCTTCCTGTCGCCGAGGACTAGGAAGTTGGGACCTTCAGGGCGAGGAAGTGGACAATAAAAGGAGCTCAGCAAATTGTAAATTTCAAAGCCCTTTTACGACATTCCTCGTAGCGTCGGCGTGGATGACTTCGATGCGAGACATCACCGCCCTGATGCTGGCGCCGAGGAGGCTATATCTTTCTATACCAAGGCAATTATGGAGGGCGGGATTATATTCCCCCTTTATCCATTGCTCCTTTAATTTCTTTCTAGGTTCCATCTTTTCCCTGGGCAATGTGCCCTTAACACCTTTAGGATCATCATGGGGTGGTGGAGCTTAATGGGCGCCTCGGGGTCAACCTGAGCCTTGAGGACATCCTCTTTTGCTACTCCTTGATAAGAGTGGCGCCCCAGGGAGCCTTCTACCTCAAAGCCCGAGACACGTTAATGTACCTTGTTACCCACCTCCTTGATTCTGACAAAGGGTAAAAGGATGACCTGTTAATCTTCAGCGGTGCCTGGGAGATGGGAATCAGCCCCGAGTACCATGGCTTGTCCTGCCTAAGGAATGCCGAAGAACAAGTATGCAGGCCTTTCCCTTTTTGGTGGTTAATTCTCTAATGCTTGAAGTACCCAGTGTTTAACGATCTTTTCTCTTTTGTGCAGACATTTCCTCCCGAGAAGCCACTCCTCCATCTCGCCACCTGGTGAATTTTAATGATCTTGTAACCATCTGGGGGTAAATTGGAGACGAATTTGGCCGAGCTGGACATACATTGTTAGGTTATACTCCAGGGTATAAGAAATTCTCTCAATTCCCCCAGCCCAACGATCCCTCATGGTGGTCTAAGCTTTTTAGGCAAACTGAGGAGCATGAGTTGGAGCAAAATTTGGAAAAGGACCCCGACCAAGCCACAGAGGTAGAGGTAGAGGGGGTTTGCAAAAGAAGCTGAAGTTAGGGAAATGAAGTTTGGCCGAATTTCAATATTTTACAAAGCTTGGACTAGGAAGACGCACTCCAAGCTGCAATATCGTGTCAACCTCGCACCAACCTGAATTTTTTGAACCGAAGGTCGGCCCTGAGGGGCAGGGGTTCTGCAAGCAACGTTCCCTCTCCACCTCTAAGAACCAGTACTAGCATTCCCCCTCCTGCGCCACCAAGGTCCAACACCCAACATTCCTCCCCCTGCACTGCCAAGGTCCTCTGGTCGGGGGCTGGTCCGTGATCGGAATTCCCTGATCAAAGAGGAGAGGAGAACCAAGTAGAGATATGACAGAGCAGGCCGAGGCAGGGGCCTTCCATCTCAACAGCCACAACAACAACAGGGGCAAACTCCCCCTCCTCCTCTTGCGCCGACTTTAGAGGCCGAGGAATGGTGCCCCCGGGCCCAGGATCGGATAAACAGGGCGATCCAGGTTGATGACTCCATTATCAGTGATCCTCACATGGCCTACGCTATGAATGAAATGCTCTATTTGATGCTGACATGGCAGTGCACCAGGAGCGGCTGATCAATCAGCTATTCCACTCAATCATTCAACACTCCTTGGTGGTAAGTTTCAATTCTCTGAACTCGTTTGCCAGCTTGCTTCCCTAGGTGTAATTTTTTATTCTTCCTTTTCGCAAGCTACCCAACAGGTGTCGGTTATTGCTACACGTTATCATGAGCAGAGACAAAACTGTCAGCAAGCCGAGAAGGAGAAAATCGAGGCTAAAACGGCCCTTGCAGGGGCCAAGGAGGAGGTGGCCGCCCGGGACAACAACCTATCAGCCTAGGCAGCTCAAA